TCGTATGCCGGATGTTCCCGGATCATCCCGGACGTTGCCGGCAGAGTTACGGATGTACTCCTGTCCCCGGTCGTTCCCAGATCACTTCGGACGTTTACCGGGGCTCTGCGGAGCTCTGTCGGCATGTTAGTGAGACTGTAGCTTTAAAACACAGAAAAATAGCGCTGAATTCGAAATGACTTTGAGTTTCAATTTGACTTCCATACATAAAATTATAAAAAGTGCATTAACTCCCCCCTCATTAAACCTGGGACAGAAATCTGTCCAAATTCAACTAAATAGTAAACAATTATTTTTGGTGGCTGATTTGTGCCATTTGTATTTTCGCACCGCGACTCCGCCTAGCGAAAAGTCGAAAATTAACAAGTTAAAATGGCGCAGAGGGAAAACACGCTAATAAGCGAGGGCGCGGAGCGAAATTAAAAAAAATAAAACTTTGCCCGCGGGAGCGCGTATTGAGATTAAAGAAATTAAACAGCGGGTCGCGGGACAAAAACACGCTAATTAGCAGGGGCGCGGGCAAGATTAATAAATAAAACTTCACCGCGCGCCCTCGCTTAATTAGCGTGTTTTCATCGCCAAGCGAAGAGTCGAAAATTAAGAAGTTAAAATGGCGGGGGCACGGAGCAAAATCACGCTAATTAGCGAGGACGCGGGGCGAAGTTTAATAGATAAATTTGTTGTTCTTGTAGCAAAGTAATTTTGACGGTAGTTATTTAAGGGTCATAGAACTGGTCATCTGTGACATTTAAGGCCAGAAGAAAATTTGTTTGTTTTCAAGATATTCATGTATAATTTATCTAAAAATAAATTTTAACTTTCATAAAGAAAATTTGCACTCCACATGCATGGGAACTTGTGGTGATTTTTGTGCTTATTTGATCACTTTATATCAAATCATTATGATGTGTTATCAGGATATGCTTACAATGTTTATCCCTGCAAAATTGTATGAATTTGATAGCTTTTCATATAAAATAAATTCGTTTAACTGATTGATATAAATCCTTGATGTTAACACTCGTCAATTGACTTTTTCATGTTTTAATCTGGGCCATTCAACTTTTATAGGGAAAAATGACTTTGAACTGAGTAGCGAACAGTTCAGACTAAGATTAGATTGTACAGATGCCAGGCAGAGCCCCGATGGATTAAAAACGCGCGAAATGATTACATTGGCACATACTTTTTACTGAAAACAATCCTTATGCAAGACTGGATAGAAGGGAAGTTGGAAGGGTTTTAATTCAAACATCGCAAATTGTCGTGACTCTTTTGAAATGAACCGGGCTTTCCCGGTGGCTCTACGGGATTCAGCCGGGTCTGTCGGCATCATCCGGGGGCTCTGCCGGCATCCTCTTGGGCTCTGACGGTATTCACCTGGGCTCTGCCAGCATTCACCGGGGGCGTACCGTAGTTCTAACGGCTACATCATACCCCGGATCATCTCCGGTTTGTGCCGGCAGAGCTATGGTGCTTCCTCGGTGTAACCCCGGTCGTTCCCGGCAGAGCGAAGGATGAAGGGGCAAGAAAAACATTACTTAAGACGGTCCATTATTTTCTATTATTTCTCTTTATTTAATTGGATAGAGTGTAAAACCTGGTTCATTTCAGGTAACAACGTTTGTATGGGTTTTTTTTTTCAGACAACATTATTTGTATGGTTTTTTCAAGGCAACACAATTTGAATGGATTCTTTCCATGAAACATTATTTGTATGATTTTTCCAGGCAACAATATTTGTATCGGTTCTCCAGGCAACATTATTTGTATGTTTTTTCCAGGCAACATTATTTGTATGGGTTTTTTACAGGCAACATTATTTGTGTGTTTTTCTAAGCAACAATATTTGTATGTTCTTTTTTTCAGGCAATATTATTTGTATGGGGTTTGCCAGGCAACATTATTTGTATGGGTTTTACCAGGCAACATTATTTGCATGTTGTTTTTTTTTCAGGCAACAATTTATGTATGTTTTTTTTTCAAGGCAACGTTATTTGTATGACTTCTTTCCAGACAACATAATTTGTATGGGTTTTTTCCAGGCAACAATATTTGCATGCTTTTTTTCAAGGAAACAATATTTGTATGGGTTTTTTCCAGGCAACATTATTTGCATGGTTTTTTTCAGGCAACAATATATGTATGTTTTTTTCTAGGCAACGTTATTTGTATGAATTCTTTCCAGACAACATAATTTGTATGGGTTTTTGTCAGGAAAAAATATTTGTATTGTTTCCTTACTAGACGTAGGGGTTTTTACACTTATGGCAGAAAATAAAGCATGGACCGTCTTTTGCATTGGTTTTCTGTCTCACACAGAGCACTATATTCACATGGTATAGACACCGTGATGTAAGCTATTGTTAGACCGTTGTCAGAAAAAAGTTTCTTTTATGTCAATATTATAATTATGGTAATAAATATCTTTTTAAATTCTTATTCATAACTTGTGTGTTATATATACATGATATACATGTATTTGTAGTAACTTAAAGGTGAATGTAGTAGATAATGTGTTTATGTAAATCTAAAATTGATACAAATAAAAATTAAACAAATTCTTACCACCTAACTTACCACAACTTTGTTTTAGTTTATACAAATATTTTAGTTCAATTGCTTTGGAAGCTATAAGCTTATTAAAACTCTCTCGAATCCGTTCCTGGAACCTACCAGTACTAAGCAATGAATGTAAAGGTTCTTGCTCAAGGAAATAATGGCTTGCAATTCTGCTTATGCCGGTGCTAGGGGGCGTGGACGGTATTTTGCACCGTCCATGAACGGGGTCAATCAAACCGAGCCTGGAACATTTTTGATTTTGCCGTGTTGGACTTTAGGGATTCTTATTGTTTTTATCGCCACATCAGAATTTTCTGTGCCGTATGGAGGCTGTAAAAAGTCGCCCTGTACATTCAATCAGAGATGTTATAACTATTCGGCATTGTGAAGTTGCTAGGTTCCAATATTAAGGTAAAAGGAAATGATAAGATAGGTAGATAGATAAATTTATTTCGGTATGCAAAACATAAACATCTATAATTAAAGCAACATGTACGGTACAAATATATAAGATTCATGGGAATAAATCAGTTACCATGACATGCTCACCAACACCAAGTATAGCACAAAATAGAGAGACTATTCATTCAATTGTGGTCCCCTGTGTCCCTTGTGTTGGTGGCATTTCATAGAAAGCCTTAACAAATGCCAAAACAAATACTTTCAGTTAAAGATTTTAAGTTATTTGAACACAGTTTGACGAGAAATACATTATTGTAACATATCATTCAAGTTAAAAACAGAATACATATACTAGAAAGCGAATGATAAAATTAATAAACATTATTTTACCATAAGACATACTACAATAAAGACAAATTACCATTTTATCACAAATTAAACCTTTTATTAGACCATTTGACTAGATACAAACGCGCAACTATAAAAATTTAAAAATCAGTATCACTTACACTGAAACAAAGCATCATTTCATATTAAATATATTAAATGATAGACGAAATGAGTTAAAAACATTTCCTATAAAGAAACAAAATGATGTAAATTTAAAAACTCATGTAAGAAGCATTGGAAATAACAAACTGTCCACCAGTTACTTCTGAGCCGATAATTCGAAAGAAAGTATCCTGTAAATGCTAAATATATAATCTGAATAACTATTCCACAACGTACAACCCACAAAGCAGAAGGACTTGGTACTAAATCCTTTGACCTTTAGGATTGCAAATGCACTTTTGTAACTTAACCTGATATTGTTAGAATAAACCGTCACCTGTGGGATACGTTTTTTTTTCATGCTATCATGATTCAGAACATTTTATACTTTAAAATCTTGATAAAGGTTGATTTGATCTACACGTTTATTGACAGGTAACCATTTGAATGCAGCATATAGCCAGGAACAGCTAGTAGAATGGTAAGTAACTTTCCCTTTTTATGCCCTCTACACTTAGACAGGGCAATGGCAAATAGATTTGCCTTTGTTCGTCCGTCCGCCGCCACGATGTCCATTCATTCACTGAAGTCTGAAGCAATTGTACAGATATTTGTGATTAAACAGTAGAATAAAGGACCTCCTCTGTCCTGTAGTACAATTCGTCAGGATTTAAGCATGTAGGAAATAATAATAACATAATAATAACAATAATAATAGATCTACAATAAATAATTACATGTATAACAAAAATTTTAATTAGAGATTGTAACAGAGAAAGTTTACACAATAAAAAATATTTTTAATTAATTTTTGAAATTAGGCACGTTTTCAAGTCAAATGTAAGGCGTAATTATTAACATTATATGCATACTTATTTTCAGTACGGCCTTCTGATTTAAAATAACAAAGAAAAGAATACTTATATTTCTATAAAAAAAAAATTCTAAAAACAAAAAATCATTTATTTTCTTTAATGTAAAGGTAAGCTATATCAATTCATTCGACTGACTCTCGTATTAATCATATTAATTTTAGATAAACTCATAATAATTAAAAATGACAATATCAACATTTACAACAGCTACAATATAAAGTGGTTAATCTCTAATTGTAAAATAAGAAAATATTTCGTGATAGATTATACAGAAAAACATTGTTTTATAGTAATAGGTACATGTACTTTGTTCCTTTGTTCCAAAAATCAATACTGAAATAAGAAATAAAATCCTTGAAATAATAAGTTTGAGGTATAGTTTTCAGAACAAGATTCTTATGGGCAATTAAGAGTAAATTGCGTATTTTATTGTATAAGACACTAAGCATATCACTCTAATACAATGGTACCATATTGTTTAAAGATTTATACCCCATAATTGCTGTGTGGTATTTCACGCTAACTTGAATTTTAGCCATAATAAGACAATATGTAGGTGAATTTACATTTGTAAACACTTTTCCCATTCTATCAGAACACTTTTAAAATGCCATGCCCATAATGTACATGAAGTGTATGTGTGGCTTTACACTAGAAAATTAAAGCTTTTTAGAAGCATTTTTTCTCGTACAATATACAGGAGTCGTCGGATCTAATATCCTCGGGGATTACATCTTTTACCATTTGTTTTGTAAATGAGCTTCTCCTGCAGTAAACCCCAATACTGTTGACATAAACTTCATAGGACAGACAATCTTCATCTTCAGAACACAACCTAGAGCATTCATCACCAGAGGCCACATAGCCATATCCACGATCATCACGGCTGTATATTCTTATACCTTCCGTGACGGAGAAAGTTTTGTTCATGGCGCTGCAAACTGAAGATCAAAACATGTTGATGTTTTTTTTCCTTCAACTTAAATATTGCACGGGAGAAACACTTTTATAAAGACAGCTTTATTATCAATGCCATGGCTTTTCAATATTTCTTTAAGAATTGTTTATAGATTTCGAAGATATTACGTTAATGACAATTATAAGTAAATCTGATACAAAATTAAAATCCACTTACGTTTCTTATAATTCATCATGCTTTTAATTAAGAATGTATCAATCACTAATGTTGAATTTATCTTACTTTTTTATAAAGTACTTAAGTCAGATACTTCTTCTACCAAATAGCATATGTTAGATATTTCACCTTAGTAAAATGGCGAATGCATTGGCGGTGTGTTTGACTTTTAAATTATTAGTTTAATATGATTTTACTCTGTCAAACGTAACTATCCCACGTATTTTAATGGACATATTTTAAATGATTTAAATGGAATTGCTGTATGACAAGATAGAGCAAAATATATGATACATGTAATGGGCATCATAATGTTTTATTTCTTTGTTCATGCAATATAAGGTAGACTGCATAATTTTGAAGGAAATAATAGTATATGAGACTGTGTTTACGGTAGCCGAGTTTGTGTTTCACAATAAGTAATCAGATTTTTAAGCATGCGTAGATACGAAACTAAGGAATAACGTTGTTGTATAGATAGTTACAAAGACCATTTATGTATTAAAAGCCTTACATCATGTACATGCAAATTAAACAGTGCTGCGGACCTCTCGGTAATAAGATCTTTGAATGATCAGCTAGGTATCAAAAGGCAAAGGTATTACAGCGTTTGAATCAAAAACAGCACATTAAGTTTGTAGACATTTGGTTTCGCTTGTCGACTTTCTGCATTAATGCCAGAGTTATTGCCCTTTACTTAGTCAGAATCAGCAATTTTCAACTTGGCATGCATGTTGTTGAAAATAAAAGACATTGTGCAAAACAGGCTTATTTATTTAAATAAACACATGTGACGTATACGTATTTTATTTTTTTATGCGCAGTTTTGGTTAATGACATATACGTTTTGGTGAGGATAGTAAAACTTAATCCAACCGAATATGGCATATGTCATGTTCCATTTTCGGCTGAAGAGTGTGTCATATTCGTCCGTTACATATACGGTCCGACAAATTTAAGGTCAATTTAAGCATTTTAGGCGTATTGAAACAAAATTATACAGTCTGAAGCAAGAGATAAAATAATAAAATTCCTTTATACAAATTGAGTGGTTTAGTTTCCTTAACCTTCGCCATTACAGACGATTGTCTATAAAAATTTACAGAGTGATTTTTGTGCATGAAACGTGGAAAAATCGAAATATTAATCTTCCGAAATGATTGTCTGATCAATACCCGAATATTTAAGTTACGCAATATATGATACAGAAAGGAAAGCAACACATGTGAATTGGAAGTACAGTATTGAGCAAAATTCGCACATGTATTCTTTCATTTGATTTGTCATCAGAGGTGTGCTGATTTAAACAACAACGTATCACTCGGGGAGTTTTCAATTGACTGCATTTAATAGAAATACAAATTATGATGCAATACCTTTGGTACAATTCCTGGTCTCGACGTCGTATCTAAAGAAATGGCTACAGTAACATAGTCGTTCTTTGCACAGTGCACCTGACTCATTGCAATCAGATGTATGTAAACACGCCTTTCCAATTGTTGATACTAAAAAGCGAACAATTAACTTTTTATATAACCAATAATATCTGTTTTGAAAACTTTAGTATCATCAGTAATATCTTTTTTGATAACTTTAATATCACCAAAAATATCTGTTTTGATAATTTTAATAAAATCAATAACATCTGTTTTGATAATTTAAATATAAGCAATAATATATGTTTTTAATGCTTTAATTAATATAACCTTTATCTGTTTTGAAAGCTTAAATTTCAGCAATAATTTCTGTTTTTATGATTATGAAAATATTACCAATATCTATTTTGGTAGTTTTAATATCACAAATGATATCTGTTCTGATAGCTTTAATCATTTTAATGTCATTGCTAAGTAATTAAACAGTTTTATTGTTTTTATGTGCATTATCAATAGTCCTTGGCTTGACAAACCTTTAAGTTGGCAAGTAGCCTTTGATTCAGTCCATTCACCATTCACATTGCACGTTATGTCCTTGTCACCACTTAGAAACATATTATTTGGACAAGCGAACTCGTATGAACGGACAGTGCCAGCAATGACCGTGGTATGTTCCTCAACTCTTTGATCGGCATTTTGTGGAATTTTGCACGCTAGAAATGAAATACTAGTAATTTTATTAGGAAGTGTATTTAAAAGATAAGTCGTGATTATATTTTAAGTATGCAAGAAATATATCATTCATTCATTCATTCATTCAACCATCTATCTATTCATTCATTCATTCATGTATGCAATCAATCAATGCATCAGTCAATCAATCGATTAATCAATCATTCAATAAATCAATCGATCGATCAATCTCCTTTTCATTATTCTGCAGTAAGTTTTGTTTATAACATGTATAAAGACAACTGTGTCATGTCTGTATTGATGTTTGTCATACAACAAACATGATAACTTGATATATAACGTGGAATACCCTAAACTCACATGTACATCTAAATACTCAAGTAAAAAGATTGTTTTGAATATTGAAAATCTTTAAAACAAACTGAAGTAGGCGGATTGTTTTTATGCCCGTAAGTTCTTTCTTTATTATAAATGGTGTTGATAGTTTTGCTTAATGTCATAGCAGAGATAATTTTTACAACACTGAATAGTTTTGGATGTATGTAATGTAATTTCCTTACTGATGTTTTCGCATTTATACGAGTCAGAGCCAAGGGGGAGACAACGCTGAGTTTTGTCGCATTGATTGTTGGCACAACCGCTAACCATGGCCTGAAAGAAAAGAATTGCCCGCCTCAATAACAAAATAAAACGATAAATGAGCTACGACATGACCAAACCAACATAGTGCTAACAAACACTATTACAAGTAAAGAAACTGATAGCGAACGACATGGATCCTGATCAGACTGCGCGGCTGGTCTGGATCCATACTGGTCGCAAACGCACTATATTGGCTCATGTATTGTCAGGTCGCGGCTCTAATATCATAACAACGTTACAACCATAATTCTTAAGGACAACAATAACATTATGTTATGTGTTTAAATCAGACATTATTAAGATCATAAAGTATTTACAGTGTTCTTTTAAATGAATGAATAGAACTACCGTTTTCATTTTATAATCAATTAAATGCATTTGTTTTGGTTGACACAGACGGATCATCTTGTCAAATTTATACATTTGATAAATGATTTACTACTACTATATTGTAATCGTCAAATGGCGTGATAACAAACAACGAGGGCAACAGGCTGTAAAAAATATATCGTTTATTTTAAATGGTTTAGCAAATCGCGTATTGATTTGAACTTTTTCAGACAGACTCTTTGTTGCATTTTATACCATCACATACCTTTGGCCATTCGGAAATATCAGAAAAAATTATTCCTTTTGTTTTATTGAAGTCTGACGAAGGAACTGTCTCACTCCCTGCTGAGTTGAATTCGCAAGTTTTGGTACTTGTTATGAAATTGATAGACACACAAGCTCCCAGTAACATGCATTCTTTTGCACATTCGCGATGTGATATGACAATCATGTCAAAAAGTTTATAACCAAGTAGTTGCTTGTTGAGATGTTCGGGCTTTACCTGAAAGGGCTTGCATGATTGTAAACAAGTTATTCTCACGAAAAAAAGAGCGAAAGTCCATACACCAAGTGATGTATTCAGTTTCATGATTTAAACAATGGCGTGTCTCTTTTAGATATCTGAAATAATAATATTATCACAAATATATATCAAAAGTATGAACAGGTACACATATTCATGAGTTGATTTTACGGAGGTTTTTAGTGCATGTTTTTTATGAAAAACTGATACATCTCTTTTGTTGTATAATTTGTAGCATGAATTACGCATATTTCGATAAAGAAAGTTTTTAAACATATCGAAAATAATCAAATAACATGTAAACCACGATGTGAGTCAATCTTTTTAAGTTTTTTGTCTAAATATATCTTTAAAATAAAAATATTAAAGAGAAAGTACCAATATTCGCATATTTCTCTTCCATGGTTTTTAATATGTCTATGAACAAAATTCAAAAAGTTACTATTTTTCTCATAGTGTATTCGGTATTCAATTAATACTTAGTGTTTATTGTAAATATGTATCAAAAGACAAAAAAGATAAAGATTGTAGGTTTTATACTTTGTTAAGTGGGATGGGTAAATTAATCCGATAATTGAAAAAACAAAATCAACGAAATTTGTAAGTTAAATTCATTTCTTTGCTTTTTAATTAAACTTTCTATGAATTCTTATATTCACTGTTAAAAAGTGTCGTTTATCTTTTTTTTATCTATTTATTTTTTTTATTTGTATTTAGGTATTTTTGTATTCCTTCAGGGTTAGAGCATTTCTGAAATGTCAGTCGTCATGTGAATACATTCACTTATAAAATTAGTTTGAATAAGATAAATTATTTTAATATTCTAAATATAATGAGTTAATTGTTACGATAGAAGACTGAATATACATATACAAAACATGCGTTAAGTATTGTCTTTTTTACGAATATAATTAATTCCTGCATAGTTTCTTTATGAAATAATAAAAATCGGAAAAAAATGAACTTTGCATTAAATATCATAGTCTTAACGGCGGCTTGTAACAGTATGTTTTATCTACATTCATGTAATTAAGTATAATTGAATTAGGACTGTTCACGGAATAACATATCTAGACATGGTATTATCAAAAGATACAAAAAATAAGGCGACAGCTACAACATATCATTTATGTGCAGTGAAATATCAATAGTATCTCTTGCCCTCATATAGTTGCTGATGGTATATAAACTGTCTGTTAAAATGTTATTAAATTTTTCATTATCCCCATCAAACAACCCTAGATAACCCACCTTAGATCCACCGCAGGAAAATTGCTATAATTCTTTAATACAGAAGTAAGATAAGATCATGTTAGGAGTATCAAATTTTTCACCACATTTAGTCATGATTCATGAACCATTTGTAAAGCTTCGCTTCTAAAGAATCATGCCCAATATCTAGGCACTCAGAACTGTTTCACGCAAAAAGACTCTTATATAGTTATATATCTATATGAGTCCAGAGAAACTTTGATTTTGACCCTTTGCCAATAATTCATAACTTTTTTAGAGTATCAAAATGTTATGTAACATGATTTTTTTTTGCTCTGGGCACTGCAGTTTCGGTGACGATTTTTAAGACAGTTTTAAATCTATGCAAACATAAGTAACATCCAAGGGAAAGCAATTTAAGACTGCAGGAGCATGATTTAAAGGCCTGCAATGAGGACACTAAGTTTCGAAAGACCTTGTTAGTCCCCTTTTGAAGAACTACAATGCCTAGAGCATAGATATTCAACAAATAACATTGCTTAGCAGATAAGCGATCATTGATTTTAGAACCTTACCATCTAGCAATGCTTTGCGACTGCAGAATATACATTTGACGACCCTTGAAAAGGTATTTGTTGATACTTGAGACATTGGTTTAAAGGCCCATTATTCCCCAGAAATGCTATTATTATATTTCTTAAAAGCTTATATTTGGTGTCCTGTTAGTTTTCAAAAGGCTACTCACAAGCCAATTACATGAATAATATTTTGCTTCTGGAACTTTCTGGGAATTAGTACAGTTATGGTGATTTAGTATTTCGTATGGAAATCCAAATAATCATTTCTTGTCATCTTACTACTTACAGACAAACGAATATCACATCTAGCGCTACTATCAGGTATTAAGCCTCTAACATGCTCAAAAACTATTATTTTAACAAATTAACGCATGTTTGTCCTTGCGAAAGAAATCTTTTTATTCATTTCTGAGGCATAATGTGCTTTTAAAAACAGCTTATCGTGCAACAGTCAATTTCGTTGTAGTTGTTGTTATTGTTGATGATGATTTTTATAATTATACATTTGTGAAAATTGACTACGGATGGAACATGATAATTTTTTCTGTGTATTGAGTAACATGGTCTTAACTTGAAGACCAAGCTTCTATCTTGAATAATTTATCAGATCTATATTATACTATGAGTTTTAAAGCTGCATGCCTCCAGATGATCCAAAACATTTCATGAAAATCAAATTTGAGCAAAGTGTACTAAATATTTTAAGAAAAGAAACAAAGAAGTATCTAGATTTATCACACACCCGTGCCGATTTTATTTGGGGAATGTGATAAATACAATATTAAATTCGTGTAAGTTCATTACTATATTTATTGCACTCGTTGAATAAAATATTATTGTGCTCGCCAGACGCTCGCATAATATAATATTGGTATGTGCCGATTTTGCGACTCCGTAAAAATGATATTGCAAGGTCGTGAATATATTTTGTCGTAACGTCATTTGCGTTATACAAACATAGCGTTAGACGCGCTAGGTTTAACGTTATATTATTATTCTATTTTCAACTCGTTCAATAAATTAGGTACCTTCAATATACTCTATTTGTAGAAATGATTTACATGCTGTGCGCAAATAATGACTTATTTTGTGCTACTTATCACCATATTTCTACTTCGTGACTAACGCTTACGCCGAAAAGGCTTAGTTTTTCCCATATTTTGACCGGTACGTGGATTTTAATTGCCGTTTGCAATGTAAAAATTTCTTTCTTTTTTCATTTCACAATATTTTCCTTCTAAATACATAATAAATATTTTTAATGAATTTTGGAAAGGATCATCTTCCTCAGACATGGTTTAAACGACACTGAATACTTACTCCCTGATTACGCTTTACTGACTTAAGTATCTTGACTCTCACTCTTGAATGCCTTTAGAAAATATTGTACCTACATTTATAGAAAATATCTTATCTCTCATTATTGTGAGGTAACCGTTGTGTTTACTGTCAAAAATAAACCTTCTAGATCTATATTTATGACAAGTGTTGACACCAGAATCAAACAGACTTATTCCTGGAATATTTATGATGATAACCAATGATTGAGTTACCTAAACACAACAATTGCAGGCCCCTTGTCCAGCATATATGAAGGTAACCGTTTACAGGGTAACCATACTTCAATCAGACTCATACAAAATCTAGCCTCAACAAATTTATAGTAATAAATAATGACAACAAATGAGGTCTCAATTCTCATACAAACTCAATCATTAAATCAAATAATGTTGCTAAAACTACAACACATGTCAATAAACCTCAGTTGAGTACCTTTAAGATCTAAAATATACTCATGAGGGGGAGAAGCTGCGAGGGAGCTTAAGTTCTTTGTTTTTATATTTTCATTAAATAAATCGTTGGTTAAAACACAACGCTCCGTTCACCAATACTAACAATTCTAATACAAGGTAAAATTAATGAATAAAATTTGATATTATTGTTTTTGTTTTGTATTTGTGAAGATTAACTAGATTTAAAAGACAAGAATTGTGTGGTCGCTAAATAATATTTTTGCAAATTTTATACAGTTTGATACGTACAGATAATGATTTATTTTCGAATTATGTATTCCCGGTACCCCGACCTATTAAAGAATATCTTTAATTCGGTCAGTTAGTGCTTTAATTAATATAATTAAATGTTAAGGTACTAAGCTTATCAAACGTTAAGTCTACTACTATCAAAGGATAAATTTTTTTTAACAATTAAGTCCTTACTACACTAAATTATGAAGTTCAATCATTTTATGAAATTAATTCAAATGTCGGAACACATTTATGTTTATTTACATGATAAATTTTTCCTCAAAAACGTATCAATTTTACTTTTTAGATTTAAGTTTATATACAAACCATTCAAATAAATTGTTAAATGTAATAATTGTTATATTGAAAGTTAATGTAATACACATTAAAAACAATGTATTGTAAATATAACCTTGCTGTTTAAAATCTATTTCTTCTATTTCATCGATGAATGGAAGCAGTCGTATCCACTTATTATAAATTTCAATCACTTACATTTCTATGAAAACTGTTTCAACACTTACGAAATGTATTGCGACCAGTATAAAAGAACCGCACAGACTAAAAGGGTAACGATTGTTATTTTTTTGTTTATGCTATGCAGTTTCCAGGAAGCAAGCCAAACAAGCTGTGATTGGGTGGGAGTAATTACGTCACAGAGAAAGACCAACAAGAGAGCGATATTATCTAAACAAAGCTCCTAACATCCTCATACGACAAACGGTAAGGCATCCAGCACGACAAATAGCAGCTTTTCGGCCTTTTCCGTCAGTCTTCGGATAAGGACTTTTGTGGATAACAGCCGTGAACGTTCCGATTGCAAACACGAAAACAAACAAAGCATGTTCACGGGGTGAGGAGGAGAATAGCAGTACTACTTATAGCATTTAGTTTATTATCGCGGTACTAAGGCAGTTCATATAACAAGTACACTTCAATCATTTTATATATGTACCTAACCAACACCGTTTATGTTCTTACATACGAGAATCATTTTCGTTTAGGACCATAATCGATACCACCAGCGATCAGAAATAATTAAATGTGAAAGTATATCTGCACTAAACTGATTTCAATGTCTAGTATAAATTATATTCTAGTAAGTTGTAATCACCTGTTGGATTTGAATCGCACTGCCTTAGATAAACAATACACAAAACGACACATACAAAAAGTAAATGGTCATTTTTTGCAAAGTACAAATTAAAAGCAAATATCAGTTATGTTCATAGAATAAGTGCGTCCGTTAGTCAAAATTCATAGTCAT